ACAATGAGGTATTGACCGTAAGAGAGCGGGCGGTAGATAGAGGAGGTGCCTTTGCAGCGCATGTGTACATGTGGAGAAGCCCTCTCATTATTTGTACTGCTTTCAAGGAGTGGTGCCACTGAAACTGCAAAGAATATTTTATGTCATGTTTCTCGCGTATCCTCATTCTGCTGCGCTACACCCTCTCCTTCCTATCTGCACCACGATACCACTGACGTGTTACTGACCCTCGCGAGTGTGACCCCCATGATCCATCCTGAAAAATACGAACCCCCTCTCGAACATTTCCTCGAACGATGTTTGCCCTGGCGCAAAGCCTTTTTCGACGGCCGGGTGCGGGGTGCAGCAGGCCTCGACTGTGGGATGGGTCCCCAAAACTCTGCGCTACTCCGGTCAATGATGCAGTCCTCATGATCAAGAGGGATGCGTCCAGAAATGCAGACTTCGTAACCCAACCCTGACCGGAGTTTGCTAGGGTGTAGTTCGCTATTACGAAACCTTACCTTACCTTTACAATTACGAAAACTTTACCTCTCTTCACAGCGCGGAACTTTTTTCGTGTAGTAACTCCAGATCCACCACTGATCAAGGGTGGAGCTGGGGTTCCCGGAGGGGAGAAGCTTCGCGCTGCGAAAAGCGGAAGAGTCACATCCGTCCTTGCGACCCACACGTGTCGACCCACGTGTTGCGGCAAAAGTGAAAACTGGAGTTTGGAGGTTTCATTTAGATGCCTTTCAATTTCATTAAGATTGCGCTCGTTTTCCACTACATGAAACTGACTGGTGACGCTAAGGAATTTTCTTTGCACTCGTATCATTTAGTGTGTTCCTATGCATCCATATGAAAATCTATGGGTTCTAATGCCTTTATCCGCTGTTGGGATATCACACATGAGACCAATAAGAATGCAGTCTGTGAAGGCAGTGGTCAGAGGCAATTTCGATGCCAAACGAGTAGATCGTTCTAATCAGGGTTATTATTTTGACATCTGCACTCTATTCAAATTACGGCTGATTTGTTTTCCTTGCTAATTGTTGCTGTTTCATTTTTTTTTACTTTTTTAGTGAACTGCGGCTGCGAAGGGAGAAGTTGCTGGATCATTTTAAGAATGCAGGAAATGATCTTTCCGATGTCGATAAGGATTTTAATGATTATCTGCGGCTTTTCGCGGGATTTCTCGTGCAAATTGACAAAAATGCAATCGCAGCTGGTAAGTGATCGTTTTCAGCTTTCGATTCGGTCTTTTCATAGATTCTTGATTACTAGCTTTCGTTTGATGTCCATGTAGCTGTCTAGTAAACGAGAATCTCATTTGTTTTAAATATGAAATATATTTTTTTAATGACTTTTGCAAGGCGTTTATTCGAATCTGGTCTAGCCGAGGCCTGAAAAGTCAGGTGTCCGACATTGCCACACCCCATGAAGTGCCAGTGGTCATTTGAAAGTTACTATTACTGGGAGTTTCCAAAAGCGGCTGGGTGTCTCGTGCTATTGCTTAGGATATGCTGTAGATGTTTACAAATTCGGCTTTTGCTGAGTAGTGTGCTGTCTGAAGCCTGCAAAAGTCACACAGATACCGAATCATTGGCTGTTTGCGTAGGAAGGGTGAGGACGAAACTTGAATGGATCAACGGTGACGCAATGTATTATCCGCAAGCGACCGAGTGCGCCGTTAACACTGGAGAGGATAGATAGACTTTAATGTACATGCCGTATATTACTCCTTATTAAAAGTTGTTGTTTACAGTCAGAATTCGAACCGAGTTTACCCAGCAGATTTGGATTTTTTTTATGAGTTGAAATGCTTTTGCGCCCACCCTATATATTTTCGAACTTGTCTTTAAAGTGATTTCTGCGACAGAGGGTATCACATATGTTCTCATGAACTCCACAAGTTTGGAATGGCAAAATCGAGGGGTAAGGGTGCTTTCATGGTAACGGTTGATACTACCTACTTCGTTCTATCTGCCTTCTAGTTTCTATCTACCGTCTTATGAAAAACTCCCGGGAAAGTTTGTTTTGTTGATTCTCTTCACTGAATTCGATTTTTCTTAGGGGACGACCCGACGAAAGGCATCAGTAAACTTGCACCAGTGCAGAGGTATCAATGGGGTCACTCTATGCTAGGCACTCTTGCTACGTAAGTACTGTTAACGATTGATGCATTTTGTATGAGCTGCTGTGTTTTGGTAGTTTTCTTTGAAGCTTTTTCGAATAACTTCTAGATTGGAGATTTAGGGAGATGTCAGACTCCTGGTTCGAAGCTTTGAATTTGATAGATTGCATGGCCATGTGGCTCTCTAAACACGCAGCGTGGGTTGCTGGCAAAGATGACGTAAGGTCTTGCTTCCCTGTCTAATCATTATCCGCCTACTTTCATAAAAATACCTTCGTTCAGGTAAAAGAATATGAAGCAAAAGAGTGTTTAACATGTCTCCGTCGAGCAGCTGGAATGTTCTCCTATGTTGGGGCGCATATCGGCAAGTTTGCATTCACCATATCATTTTTATCGTTTCTTCTGGCGGATCTGAATATTTCGATTATTATTTTGGAAAGTTCAGGGCGCCTGTCCGGCACTGGAGACTTTGAAGGAGCAGATTTTGATCCAAAAGTTGGACGAGCTTATGAGCAGCAGGTAATCATGTTGGATTAGTTGCAAATCTTTGATTTTGAAATGTATCACTTTTCTTCCGTACTTATGTTTGCCATTTACCAAATTTTTCTGAAATTCTCGAAATTTCTTTCAATATTTAGATTATTTTATATTTCAAAATAGACTTGTGCTCAGTATTTTGATGATTTTATATTTTAAACTTCTCCATCACTCAGACCGTTGGATTGGATTTGTTGCACCTATATCTGTCGACTAGGAGTTGATCTTTAATGATGGAATCTCACCCCAATAGTCGAATGCTCGGTAACTGTTTGTCCGTGCGAGGATTTCATTCCGGGAAGTCGGCAGATCTCTTTAGTTTTGGTTCCAAGGGAGGGGGACGATTTTAAGTTAATGACGAAAGGTGATGTGGAATTGAAGGCGAATTTACTGGTACAGACTGAAGGAAACGGCCGTAATTAGATAGATGAGCTATGGTCATTCGTTTTCAATCAGAGTCAAGCGTGCGTTGAA